CATGTGACATGATGTATTTGTTAAACCCATAGAATATACAACTGCAAAGAGTAAGCCCTAACGTAAACTATGGACTTTATAACGTATCAATATTGGTTCATCAGTTTTAACAAATGTACCACATAAATACAAGTTGTTAATAACAGGGACAGTTGGGGATGGGGAAGTATGAAAAACCCTTAAACTTTCTAGGGAATTTTTGTGTAACCTAAAATTGCTCTAAAAAAACCCATTAAAAAAAATCAAACACATTATGAAAGATGTTATTTACCTCATTCACCTATTCCGGGCCCTGGAATCTTTATTATAGCATCGAGCAGGGTCTGTTGATTCTCGGATTTGATTTTGCCATGCTGGCAAGCTAATAAGCTAGCCTATTACTGTTTCATCTATGTATGAGCATCCATTCGTTTGTATCGGTTCCCTTGCCCCTCATGCACATGGGGGACACAGAGGGCCTAGTTGTGAGCCTGAACATGCAGTCAGTTATAAGACAGGAACACTGCACCTGGGAATCCACTGTTTTTATAGCAAGCAGTTAGCTTGCTCTTTGTGTGGGAGGAGTGCATTACTCTGTCTCTCAAGATTGCTTCCTGTAAACACAACCTTTGTAATGGCCTGGGCAAACCATGGTCAGACATTTGTATGCTTGGCGCACTCTGTAGGAATGTGCAAATTGCTAACTGCCCATGGCAGATTGCCTCTCCCATCTGGGTCCTTTCAGTTCTGGTATCTAACAATACTTAGAGAAATAAGTTCTTCGCAAAGGCTTTCTAAAAAACAAATAGGCATTTTCATGTGCAGTTGACTTGTCTATATGTATATAAAATTAATTATCAATTCCTTACAAATGCGATACTGCTGTGAATTTTCATTTCCTCCTTAATAAGTAGTCTTCTCTGTTCTGGTCCAGTCTTGATTTATTTTCCTCCAGGTCCTCCTAATCTTCCTTTGGATGGTTCCATTCAAATCTGCCATGGTGGCATTTTTGTATCAAAGTCCTTATTATGATTTGCAGATATTTCTTTACCTATGTGTCTGTATTTCTTAGAGCTTACTTCAAATATGGTCTTTTGTCTCATGTGGTTGCTGTGCACCTTGTTTTCTTTGCCATGCCCTGTTTTCTGCAATGGCAAAGGCTATGAACTTCTCCCTTAGGCAGGAAAAATTGCTTCCTGTTTGATATCCAGACTGAAAACACAACCACAATGGGCAGAAACATGGCCCCCATTATGCTTCCTGGCTAACATTATTAGATAATCTCCTTCTGCTTATATGCGTCAGTGCCAGAGACACTGTTATTTAATCATTTATTCTCAGTATTGTGTGGATTATAAAAAATCCATGGAAATGTACAGGCTTTAATATCTAACTTGTACAGATTTTATAAAAATGAATGTCTTTAATGAATAAAATGGGATAAGACTAAATTAAGTGCCTATAGTTTATAATTATTATTTATGTAATGAGACTGTGGAATGCTTATGCAATTTCTAAATATAATTGCAAATCAAATCAATATTCTTATCCTCCAACATAATATTTTAGTCATATATGTTGATCTAATTATTGCTGTTATCAAAATTGATAGAGCTGACATATCTCTTCCTTTTCTTTGCTTATTCCTATTGTTTATAAGAAAGCAGTGAGGACATGAAAAAGCTTGCATTATCTGTGAGCACAAGAGAAATAAAACAAACCTCATGCTAATTTTCCTAAAACTCCAGTGTTATCTTATTGTTTCAGAATTGACCAGCCCATGTTCCTCTTTTGGGCGTTATGCTCAGTGGAATATCAAAGGGTCATTACATTCTGAGAAATGGAGTACAAATGATAGTTTTCTCTAGTTTTACTTTTCCTGACATAAGTAACTCCCTGGGTGGAAGTCACATATATTTAGAAATTGCATTAACATTTTAAGGCCATTTTCATGCTAGTTAATAAATTATACTTTTATCACACTTAAATAGCACCTGAATGGACATTCCAATGGGTTTTCAGAGGCAGATTAGTGTAGGAAGGCAGTGTTATTTGGAATAAGGAACAAGAGCCCGACTGGAGAGTTAGCCTGCCTGGGTTTAAAACCCAGTGCCACAATTAACTAGCTATATGACCTTGGAAAAATTAATCTCTAGGCTTCAGGATTCTTATATGATGGTAATAAATGTAGAACATAGGGCTTTTTGGATGATTAAATGAGATAATCCCTGGAAAGCACTTAGTTTAAGTGCCTGGCACCTACTATTCATTCTATAAATGAGAGCTCTTATATTTCTTGGGATTATAATAATATATTATAACATATTAATAACAGCGATACTCAATGAGTGTTTGTTATGAATTTGGCACTGCATTTGCACAAGCAGTGATTTATTTAATCATTACCACAATCCTCTGAGGTAGTAATCTTAACACAAAAGACCACAGTATCAAACCAGTCCCATAACAATCACAGGTCTACCCTGCATCAGGCTTTACTAATATTCATTATAACTAATAATGAGGCGCAGGGTTAGCAGGGGGAGGTCTGAGACACCCATGTCCTTTCTTGCTGCATCAAGATTTATTCTGGCACTGATTAACACATGAAGCCTCTAAATAAGTAATGTCAGTTGCTATATTACTTATATAAAAGAGAGCTTTTAAAGTAATGACACACTTCTATTTTATACTCAGATAGTTACTAGTTTATACAACATTTTCCAGTACCATGGCCCATAAATCTTTAGGTTCCAGATTTATCTACTCTAAGAAATAAAAATTCATCATGCTAAAGTTTTTTCATAGATAGAGACTGTATTAGTCTAATAGAACTGCCATAACAAGACACCATGAACTGGGTGGCTTAAACAACAGGAATTAATTTTCTTAGTTCTTGGGGCTAGAATTCCAAGATCAAGGTGCAGTCAGGGTTGGTTTCTGATGAGGTCACTCCTCCTCGCTTGTAGATGGTAGTCCTTTTCCCTGTGTCCCCACATGGCCTTTCCTTTGTGCATATGCAGAAAAAAAGAGAGATCTCTCTTGTGTCTCTTCCTCTTCTTATAAGGACAACAGTCCCATGAGATTTAGGTCCCACCGTTATAACCTCACCTAACCTTAATTACCTCATTATAGGCCCTATCTCCAGACATTGGGGGTTAGGTCTTCAACATGTGAATTTTAGGGGACACAATTCAGTCTATAAGTAGGACTCTCTCACTAGCATCATTTGGTGAAAGGATGCTTTGGCATAATTAACTTTGCTCCAAGTTTCCCAGGAGGTTCATCATTACCATTTTTATAAGGAGGTTTAACTAGGTCATCTTCTTTCTTTCCTGGGGGCCTCCCTTTACTAAAGGGAGAGAATAGATTGCAGGAATACTACTAGCTGGTTTTTTTCCAGGCAGGCATAGTATTATTTCTATCTTAAGATAGAAGAGAATGGGGCACAGAGAGGTTAAGTTAGTTGTATAAAGTCAACCAGCTAGAAAATGATGGAGCCTGTATCAGAAATATTATGGTTTATTGACTATCTTCCTATATGAGGCACTAAATTGCATAAATATCTTCCAACGAATTCAGGTTTAATTTCTTAATAACTTAAAATTTGAAAGATATTCCAATAAATATATAAAATACACAAATACATAGCAATACATTGAAAGAGAATGTTATACAAACCTGATTTTCTAGTTTCCCCCCGATGAGAATGGCACCACTATTTAATTATACAAACTAGAAGCCTTGGAGTTGTCTAAGACACTTTCTTCTTCTTCAGCCCCATATTCAATAACCCATATCAAATTTTGTTGTTCCTACCTCCTAAATAACTCTATAAGTAATTTGCTTCACTCCACTTTTTCCCCCCATCCCTAATCTAAGTACTACCTTCACTCTCCTGATCTAATGCAATAATACATTTCCAGGTGATGAAACAGCCTATATCAGCACATTCTTAAAATCTGGTCTCCACACCACTTGCAAAGTGATCTTTCAAAATGCAAATCTGATCATGCCATTCCTCTACGTAAAATATACTAAGTATCTTCATTCTTAAAATAAGAACAGAAGTTTTCAGGATGGTGAGACACAACATGGTCTAAGTTCCAATTTTATTTCCAGCCTCAGTTCACACTATGTTCCCCCATGTTCTCTGTACTCCAGCCACACTGGCTGTTTTGCATACTCTTGTCATTTTGGCATTTCCTCTTTCTGAATAGTTTTTGCATATGCTGTTCTCTTTGTTTCCTCCCCGTTTTTCTTGGTTGTTTTTTAAAATTTATCCTTCTGACCTCAGTTTAGTTATTTTTTTCCTCAATG